TTTCCCACACTGCTGCCTGCGATGCTGGGGACCTTCCTGAGGCTTAAGGACAACAACTCTTGGAGATTCAGGTCTTCCATGAACACAGAGGCCTGGCCCAGTGAAATGTATTCCATATGTCTGAAGCATAGAGAGCCTTCCCAGTTTGCTGAGCACTTTTCAATAATGTACCAGAGCAGAGGTGGGTTTCATATATCTATAAGACCTCAGTAATGTACATTTAATAACTGTATAGACCTGTTACTGTGCAAGGCTTGTGTGGTGCTTTATAAAGCATCCTTTTGCAATAAGTGGCAATCTTCATGGTATGGACTGAAAAATTGGGATTTGTCTGTAGGAACAAAGTTGTTTGTTCCTGTGCCTGCCAAATGTCCTTCCTCCCCTTACCTGTGGAAACACCCTGCTGTTGGCAGAGACGGGACTTTACAGAATGAGATGTCTTTTGGAGGGCCTCAAATGCCTGTAGTCTGAATGAGTGCTGCCCTGGCATTTGGTGCATACGTCTTCTTGAAGCTATATATTTAAACTGTTGGGGTTGACTGTAAAAACCCACAGCATCTAAAAACAAGAACAGCTTCTCCTAGAGACACCTGCATGATGGTTTCTGTGTGGGCAGAAACAGACACAGTGAAAGTGAAGCAAAATGTTTTACCCGAAACAGCATCTTACAGGATCAGATCCTTTACAGTGACAGATTTGCACCAAGTCAAGCCAAATTTTACATTTTCTAAATGTATTCTTAGGCTTATTTGTCATGATTGGAAACACCACCGCTAAAGCTGTGCTTGCATTCTGTGGGTTTGTCAACTGAAAGTGGTTTTGATGGCTGGGTGCTGAGATACTTGTTACCCTGCTTCCCCCCATGCACTTTCTAAGCTCTTCAGCCCGTGTGCCCCTTACCTGGGCAGATTGCCGTCTCTCCAAATCCCCACTGATTTTCCCAGGAGTGAAATGTCATTGCTGCAGCAGGCTGCCTGCACCGGGTGCATTGAGGAACAGGTTCATTAGGGCTCTGTGTCATTAGCTGTGCCTCTACTGTGCTCCATAGTGCTTCCTTTTGCCAGAGGTGGCCCTCCTTATGGGAGCTGGCCCAGCCCTCCCCTCCCGAGGCGGTGYCGTGGGACCTGCAGTGTCCTCAGACTCCCACACCTGGGGTGTGTGGAGTGAGCGGGAAGGGAAAATTCCCTGTGTGAGCCAGGGGCTGGAGGAACTTGCCCAGGATCGTTCAGGGTGACTGGAGCTGGGTAAGAAGTTGAACCTGGGTCTGAAGCGCCTGTGAGTGAAACACAGTGTGATCCAGAGTCTCCTCACAGCTAGGAAAAAAGGAGATAAAGGTTAGGAGCATGAGATTTGTGGAAGGAGGCCAGAGACCTCGGGGCTTGTGCAGACCTGATCATCTCTATACCCCAAAGAACTCTGAAATGGACTGAGCTATTTTGATATCATGCAGCTGTGAATTATTATTGGGTTGTTCTGTACTCATAAAATGGGCTCCTGCCTGGAATTTGTGTTTACTTAGCTTAGAAWTAACAATTGCAGCCCGCTGTTCAATCCTGCCTTGTATCTGTATCTTTCTTCTGCCTGTGCAAAGGCAGGAAGACACTGCTTTGATCCGGTAAAAGCTGCATCTGATCATACATATTTGTTAAGTCCTTTGTAATAATCTAATGACTTACACAAAAAATTGAGTCATCTCTTTTGTAAAGTTTTCTTTTTTGGCGAAGTTCCTGGTGAGGTCCCTTCTGTTAAAGCAGAAGAGATGTAGGTCACGGGTGATGCTGAGTTTCCATTCTCAGCTAGCGTTCAAGGTTCCTGAATGGCTCCTGTCCCAGGGCCCCGCTGGGGCCGCCGGAGCGACGCCGATCCGGCCCTTGCAGCCTGGCCTTCCCACGCTCCGGCTCGCACCTGGCTGTCCCATCCTCCCCCGGATCGCGTGTCAGGTGAGGCCTGCGGACGCCGTCTCCGCTGCCAGCGCTTCCCTGGATGGGAACCCGTGGCTCTGGGAGCCGGGAGCCGCGCAGTGCGGCAGCAGGGAGCTACGGGAGCAGGTCCCCTCACGTGGCTGGCGGTGTGAGGGGCTCCGGCAGCCCCTCCACGGTTGGGCCTCAGCCCTGCAGCGCTCACCGGGCTGGGCCCTCGTCACAGCCTGGCGCTCCGCGTTCCCCTGAGGCCGTTTKGGGCATGAAGTGCTTTGCCTCCTTCCTTGGGATCCCTGACACAGGCTTTTGCCCGCCTGCAYCCCTAGCCGCGAGGGCTGCGGCTGGTTTTCCGCAGCCCCTGCCTTGCAGACAGCTCGCCTTTTCCAGGCGCAGTGGTCTCGGACGTAGAGTCTGGATCCATAACTAATTCCCTGTAGCCTCCAGTGGCTCGAGCCCCCTGCAGCCTCGCTGGGCTATTAGATGCTTACCTGCCTTTCTGCACTGCCTGCGTCTTGTCACCGTTCCTCCGTGATCCTGGCCGTGGGTCAGATGCCTGCAAGTTTCACAGCTGTGGGGAGCCCCTCTCCAAAGCAGGGAATCTCCTCCTAAACAAGCCATTTGCTTTCCCCTTGGCCAGCTGCTCTGCAATTAAACAACAGCATTCTGGCATAGAGGCATATTTTCCCTGAGAAATGTAAGCTCTAATTTGGGGTTTTGAAGACCCCCAAAAGTGTGAACTTTCTGTCTTGTTCTTGGCAATTGACCCCTCTGCAGCAGCCACCTCTGGCAAAGGATTTGGAGGAAACTGGTGTCATCCTTCAGGTGCCTGTTGACTGAATGAGTTGGGCCTGTTTAGCCTGGAGAAGAGAAGGCTGAGAGGGGATCTGATTAACATGTATAAGTTCATGAAGGGAGAATGTAGGGAGGAAGGGGCCAAGCTCTTCTAGGTGGTGGCCAGTGACAGGACAAGGGGTAATGGGTACAAGATGAAACCCAGGCAGTCCCATCTCCATGAGAGGAGGAACTTCTTTACTGTGAGAGTGACAGATCCCTCCCTGGAGCAGCCTACCCAGGGAGGTTGTGGAGTCTCCTTCTCTGGAGGTCTTCAAAACCCACCTGGATGCCACCCTGTGCCACGTGCTCTAGGTGTCCCTGCTGGAGCAGGGGGTTGGACTAGGCGATCCCTCAAGGTCCCTTCCAACCTTAAACATTCTGTGTGATTCTGTGATCTGTCTTAATGCCTCCAGTTCACTGCTTCTATGCAAGGAGCATTCAGATTTCGTAAGATGTACATAAACCAGTTACCTCAATTGTCCCATTAATCAATTGYCATTAACTGATGCAACATCAGTTGCATCTTTGGAGTCTCCTTCTCTGGAGGTCTTCCAAACCCGCCTGGATGCCACCCTGTGCTACATGCTCTAGGTGTGCCTGCTTGAGCAAGAAGGTTGGACTAGATGATCTCTGAGGTCCCTTCCCAACCTTGAATATTCTGTGATTCTGTGATCCAGCAGGTGAATAAGCTGCTTACTGGTCATATTTAACCCCCGGTACTGGTACGGCTGTAGCTATCTATAGCACATACTAATTCAACATGCTTATGATAGCTCCTATTTTTTATAAAGGCTTTTTAAGCCATTTATAAATAGAAGCTTAATATGAAGTGTGACAGATTTCTRATCTTTAGTCTCTCCTTAGCCCTCCAACGTTTCCTTTCTCTAACACAGAATATATCCGGTGTGCCCTAAATACTCTCCATTCTTTCTGATGACTTTAGCTCTCAGCCATTGATTCTCTCACCCCGCTCCTAATCAGTGTAGATAGAGCAGTGCTGCAATTGTCTTTTTATTTAACATTTAAAAAGGACAAATAAGATAAAAGGGGCAGTGAAGGGGTGACGAATGCGAGATGTTTTTTGCTGCTCATATGATGCTCTGGGGCTGGAGGGTACTCCTGTCAGCAAAATATAGACTCAAAAATCTGTGTTTCTTTTCCACTGCAGTAAAGAGGGCTGGAGTAGCTGAGTAAATTATTTATAACCAGGAAAAAATAGCAGGAAAATGTTGTGTGGCATTTATGTGCTGTCAGTTGCAAAGAAATCCGTGGCAGAGTGGGGCTGGAACCTAAATGTCCCAGCTCCCCCCGTGAACTGCTCCTATTCACCTGCTGCTGCTAGAAGAGAGGTTTTTCTCTTCTGTTTTAACATTTATAAGGAAAGAACTCTGGCACAATAAAGAAGGGAAGAATTTAGAATTTCCTTTTATTTTATTTTTGTTTCTTTGTTCTATGAAAAAATGTGAATCAAAGACTTGGGTAGAATTTAAAATTTTAGAAGAAATTTTGTTCATCTCAGCAATTGTCAGTTAGATTTTGTTGAGTGTAATCCTGACACACTCCAGTGTGTTTTTAAAGCCCTTTAGTTACTGTTCACCCTTTCCTTAGCTATAAATGGTGTGATAATGAATGTCTGGAGACAATTAATATGTTGRCATACATTTGCAGATGAGCAAGTCCACTGTGTTTCTTGTAAACCATAGGGGAACATCAGGTAGACGTACATCCTACAGAACTTGTAGGATGTAAAGCACTGTTAAGTCTAATGGCTGCAAATTTTAATCTAACCTAGCAATTTCTCAGGCTTAGATTCCSTCTCATTTTTTCATTTTTCTCCTTAAAACTTTGCTTCTATGTCACTGATATATCATACCCCTTCGCTTTGTCACACATCCCTTTTTTTATTCAGTTTTTTTTCTTCCTGCCCTTTTTTATTCAGATTTTTTTCCTGCCCTTTAAACGTACCATCATCAGTGTTTTATTTTACTTTTCAGCAATGTGTGTTCAATATTATAGGCTCAGAGTTCTTTTGTTTTCTCCCCGAAGAGGTAAAAAAAACCCTGGAGGATTTAAGTATCTACWTGATAGGCTCACACAATCTTAATCAGCCTATAATGGAGCTAATGGCTGTTTGTCATCCTTGGAGATATAAATTTCCTGGTGATGTCTACTGCAGTGAGCGCACGGAGCCTGCTCGCTCTGCCAGCAAGGGCTACTAATCAGGAGGAGGGCAGCGGCTTCGTTAGAGCCACGGAGGCGGCACCGGCTGCTTTTCTGGGGAACTCTGCTCTGGAAAACTGAGCGGGGAAAATGGATAATGCTGGTAAGTGAAATAAAACAGATCTTGGTCCACAGAGGGGCTACGGGGCTTGTTTGTAGGCTGTTTCACTTGCTGCAAGAGATGCGTTTCTTCAGCCTTTGTGCCTTCTTCTCTGTAAACGTCCTTCACTGAGTCAAATTTCTATGTCTAAAATTTGGCACACTTCAGTTTTTAACCCTTTATGGTCTTTTTATTTTTTTTTCATTTTAAGTTTGTGTTTCCTGGAAATGTGAACGTAAGCTGCCGTGAAAGGTCTTTTTCATGTTTTCAATGTTATTTCAGCATCTACACRCAGGAAATGTGGAAGGGAAAATGTATACACTTAGGTAGGAAAAAAAATCTTTCACAGATTGAAATAAGTGTGTACAGGTAGCTAATAAAGCTTAAAAAAGCAGATAATATCTTTATTTTTAAGATGTTTTAAGATCAAATCTTTATTTTTAGAATATTTTTATTTTTATATATACTTTGATCCCTTACATTTAGAGTACAAAATATTGAATATATTTGCACTTTTGATTGTTCCTGTTGATGTTCTAACTTTAAATCATGCATTTTCATGCTAAATAAGGCACTGCATGGTTTCTAAGGATGTGCACACAATACCAACATTGCATATTGATTAAATGGATTATTTTTTCCTTTTGGATTACCTWGTATCACTGATCAGAATAAAGCCAGAGCTTTTTGTGATAGATATTTTGCATGTTGCTTTGACTGCTGTAAAACTTAAACATGTCAGTGTCTCACTGATATGTCAGGAACAGTAAAATACACAGTAGAATACAGAATTTGCAGGGATTTCAGTGCTTTTTAAAATGTGCTTAGATCACCAGGATTRTCTGTTACTGAATTTGAAAGTGATGTTCACCTGTACAGTGTGTGATGAAAATATTCCACAGGACAGGAGATTTCAAATATGATACCAAGAGTGTAGAAGGGATTTTTTTTGAGGGAGAGGGGCAGAAGAGTTTTTATATTGGGGCTTTTTTTAGTGATAGTAAAATTCTTGTTCATGTCTGCTAAGCTGTCCAGGTCAGTCTCATCTCAAGTGTATTGCTGTTGACTTCTCTGATGAACTGATTAGGGTGCCTCATTGCTCTTATTTCTCTAAAGTCCTTGAGTTTTCCCGGGAATTAAAATGTTGATACCCTGGAGGATTATATTGCCAGTACCTGTGAGCTTAAAAATTGCCGTAGACTGAGGATATTGTTCATTTTTGTGAAATATAAGATCAGAAATATTCTTTGCTTTTGGTACTTTGGTTAGCTTTTAAGTAGACTTAACATATAAATGATAGTGACTTATGGTCCCTATTCCATGACGAGGCAGAAATTCCCAGTCAGAGAGAAAGGATTCATTTTTTCCAGTACAGACTGCCTGTAGGCAAGAGATACCGTGACACAGAACTACTAATTCCTCCAGGTTTTTAAACTCTCGAGCAGCAACAATTAATACTTTTGAAGTCTTGACAGAGCTATTACTTTAATCCAGCTAATTCTGTTCTGGAATGAGTCATATTTATTTGTGTGAGTGATATTTATTTTAAAGTCCAGTTTGGGGGGAGTGAGGGCAGAAGCTAGTGTCTGAAAACCATAGAAACAGGTTTTCCTGTAATTATTTTTATTTTATTTATTTATTTATTTATTTATTTTTTGCCTTAGGAAGGTTCTAGTTTTCTAATTATCCAAATAAATAAATAAATAAAATTAGAAGTTAAAATTAGTAAGGCTTTGCTGCTGGCACAACTTTGTCAGCTCCTTTCAAAGCAAGTTATAACGCCAATTCATTCAATAACTCTAGAGGGATTTCTTTCTGTACAGAAAGGGTGATTGGCACTTTGCATTTTATTAAAAAAAAAAAAAAAAGCAAAGTGTACTGTTAAAATTAGTTAAAATAATCCCTTTGGAAGGAAAAATTAAAATCAGTTACTTCCCCCGCACACACACCAGCAAAAACTAATTGAATTGAATATGAGCAAAACAGGAGTGGGCCGCTGTTAGCGGGCCAGGCCGTGCTCTGGGATCCCAATCCTGGCRAGCTTCTGACACGTATGGTATGGATACACTCCCTTCTCCAGGGAGCTTTCCCAAGAGCCTGGCTGCTCCRCGTTCGGAGCATTATGGAGAAAATTTCCCTTTCCAAAGAGCCTGCAGGGAGCTAGGCTGCCAGGCGCAGATCCGCAGGGGTGTTTTGAGGCACCTTCCTTCTATTACAGCACTTGATCCTTAATTGAAATCCAGTGGAGCTGGGCATGAACGTGGCAGTTCTGCGGCTGGGATTTTTTGCGGATGTGGCCCAAGCGCTCGGATTTTACGGGGCTTTGAGTGCCTCTCTGGAAACCTGCTGGGTGCAATCTGGGCACTTCCGACCGTCAGGGTAAAGCAGAGGGGAGCGGGGTATTTGCAGCAATAAATTGGAGCGCCTGATTAATTTGTTCTTTGGTAGTTTGTCAGTTGAAATGCAACATGCAGTTTGTATACAAGCTGGATACCTGCCTAAAGAGATGCTGTTTCTGGCAGTGGGGAGCTGCAGCTGCTCCCTACTCGGTCTCCCTCCGAGTCTCAGCAGCTGCTCGTTTTAGCCGACGAGTGCGAGTGCTAGAAATCACAACCTGGGTCCAGTGTCGGTGGATCGGGCYTTGGTTCCTCAATTCACCCTTCTGGCAGGGAGACTTTCACAGTCTGATCACAGATAATTGTGGGGCAAAACTCCATCCTCTGCTCTCTGCAACATGACTCTGTCTCTGTCAATCATCAGTCATATTCTGTGTCAGCATAAAATATTTTTTTTTGCCCCTACCTGTGTGGGTCTGCTTGTTTGTTTTTAATGGTGCTGCTGACAGGTCAGCTGTGGGCACCCTTTGGTTGTCCCRATCTGTGGTGCTTTCTGCTTTTGATAGTCACAGAATGGTTGAGGCTGGAAGGGACCTGGAGAGATCGTCTAGTCCAACCCCTCTGAATGTTTTCATTAAAAAAAGCCAAAACCCTTTCGTTTAAATATTAGACTGCTTGTACTTTTATTCTATGCCAGTGATAGAGCTCAGTGCCGTTGTTGTGCCGTGTGTCCTTCGGGAAGCCCTTCCAGGGGCGGCATGGAGGTGTCCATGGCGCTGTGTGGGGCCTGCGCGGCCCCYCGGCGAGCAGCAGGCCTGGCCGGCCGCCCTAGCGCGTCCCCGTGCCACCCTCCCCGCACGTGGGGCTGCCGCCCGGCCCGAGGACGGCACCCGTGAGGAGAACACCGCTTAAATCACCACGGAGGGCTGGGAACAGCGCGAGGGAGAAAGGGAACACAAAAGCGGTGTGAAGCCGGCTGCGGCAGGGAGGAAGAAGCTGCGGAAACAGRCCTGCTCCCAAGCGATGTTTTGTTTCCAGATTTCCTGTTGGGACGAGCGGGAGCAGCCTTGTCCCTCCGCCCGGAGCTGTCAGCTGGCCGTGCTGCCCCACGGGCACCCGTGGGTGCCCCTCACGCAGCGCAGCCATGGGCGCGTGGCGCATCCAATACTATTATTAACAAACTGGGAGGCCTTGTTTCATGCTTCCTGGGGATTTATGTGACTTCTTTGCACTTGGAATATCATTCTAGCACTAATGAGCTAGCTGTGGTTAATTGTTACCCTACATTGTGTCGATTCTATAGCTGTGGCTGCAGGCTATGCCTGCCAGTAAATAATCTGTGGTAAAGAAACTCGAAGTTTTTCCTGCTGCATATCCTAGCTCTGAGGAAAGTCTGATATTCCAGCTCCATGTTTGACCAACAGTGGAACTAAAAGCTTATGCATAAAAGAGAGACTGTTTATGCTGAGGTCTGAAATGTTATGGGACAGGTAAATGCCAGGTGTCAGTCTAGTCTTTCTCTTCATGTTATGCGTCGTGTCGCAGGAAGATTGCAAGACACAGGAAGCAGTTTGTTGACTGTAATTCCCTTGCTTTTGAAGTAATCAGACATTTTTATTTTCAGTAAATCAATACGACTTACTTTTGCAACCTTGAAGACTGCTGGGACTTCATTCTGTTTAAGGATTTCATCTTGCAGGCACTTTGTAATCTGCTACCTGAATTTGAGGCAAACAGTGCACATCTTATGAAAATGTAAGCGAGAAATACATTCAGGTAGTTATAGCAGCAAGCTGGGAGTAATCTGGCTTTCTCATCAACCCACTAGTTCATCAAGTTTTAATGTGACCTGGCTTATCTGCATGGAGAATTAGCCTAATTGAAAACCTCACAGTGTGCTGTAAGGGTCCCTCACTGTCTAGGAAGGGCTCTGAAACCCTGAAAGGGCTCCAAGACTTGAGCTTGGCTGAACTGTTCCCGTTGATCTGGAATCCTCCTGAAACAAAATCAGTTGCAATGGAGACGGTGGCAGTCGGGTTTKCTAGCCCTTGAGACACTAGGACAGCTTCAAACTGCAGCAGCAAAACCCAACTCGTGTGTCCTGCCAGAAGCTTGTGTCTATCTGTAGTAGTCCTTCGCTCAAAAAACTTGTGCTTGCATTTGTGTTCCCCTCCTCCTACAAGGAAAAGATGTTTTCAGGAAGGGCAACAGCATCTCCTTTCACTCCATCCATCAAGTTCACTCGCTGTCCTAACAAAATGTGGTTGTCACTGATGCCATGCTGATAATTACAGGATTTATATGCAAGTTTCCCTGGACAATGAAACAGGTGGCAATAAAATGCAAAGCAACAACCCAATCTTCCATGTTACACTGCCTCTATATTTTTGTTTCATACTATTTGCTCTCATGGCCTCAGCTGAAGCAGATACCCTAATGTGTTATAGGTCACTGCCCACTAGGAAATTGCATTTCTTCTTGATGTAATTTTAGAATAATATTCGTGGTGTATGCCCCTTCACCCAGGAGCTGGAACTGTGTGGTTTTGAAGCCAAGATCTTGAAAAATATTTCTGTGAGAATTAAACTTCCTTGCGATCTTTCCAACTGTGTAGATGTTTAACCTGGAACAGTTTACAGGTRCAGTAACACAGTACAGGTACTGTAA